CAAATTGTAATGTATTTATTAAACTGTCGCATGACTTATTTCAAATACTTGTAGTAAGAGAAGAAAAAATCTATAACTTCAAAATTTTGTAAAACAAAAAGTTAAATTTAATCCTTAGTGGAAAGACTTTTTTTTTCAGCTTATAAAAGTTTTAAAACGATCTAGAAAAATTCTGTTAAATAATATCACAAATTTACCTGGAAACAATGTTATTATTGTCTTCCCTACTAACTTTGTGAAAAAAGAACACTGATGTTCAGTTGTTTTGTTTGTTTGTTGTTAAATGCCAAGAAAGACACATTGGACAAATTGTACAAACGTTGTGAAGTGATAAATACCTACTTGTAAGAATTTTTAGAACGTTAAACAATGATGATTAATATTATAATAGAAACATTTTTAGTTTTTCGATACAAAGCATAATATATAATCCTTAACAATTCTGTTAAATTAATCTTGCTGACAAAGAATTTTTTTACGTTTTAACAATTGGAAGACATATATAACAAATGCTAAAATGTTATATTTAAATATTTTAATGCTATTTTTGCATTAAATGGAATTACTGATTATAAGTTATTATATATACAATGGTTTATAAAGTTTCGTTGTACGACGTCAAATTATGGACTACACAACCGAATAACAAAGTACTTGACATTTTCTAGAAAATGGGTTTGGTTGTTGGATTTCGCGCAAACCTACTCGAGGGTTATCTGTGCTAGCCATCCCTAATTTTCAAGTGATAGACTAGAGTGAAGGCAGGTAGTCAACATCGCCCACTGCCATCTCAGAGCTATTCTCTGGAACCAAAGCATGGAAATGACCCACGAGTTATGGTACTAGGCGAAAGGTATCTTTGGTAGTGGCATTTGCAATCCTGATGCTGTTATGTTTCCCCTCATTGGAAACTCCGATTATCGCAGAGCCTGTCTACATTTGACGGACCCTTGTCCTCTTACACTAACAGTATTGGTATGGGACCTGGAGGCTGCCATCAAATGTGGGTGCCTGTTTATTTATTTTTTTGCCAACGGAATTGTACAAATTTTCGTAAACCTTGTAGTAAAGGGTCAGTAAAGAAATACTAACAGTATAATTGTTATCTGTTCAAACGTTCCCATAACTCAAGAAGGTCATCCTATGTTTACTGGAGATTATACACAAGTTTTATTTTGTGACTCTCTATACCATACAATGGAAACTACGTCACCAACTAATGGAGCGATTGTCTACATTTTACCGACTCTTGGTCGCGTGCACTGACAGTCTCGGAATGAAACTTTGAGGCTGCCATCAACCATGGGTCCCTTTTTTTCACTGAGCGAACTTTACTAACTTCTGTAAATCTTATAACAACGTCATTGGTGTTTAAGAAGTAAAAACTAAAACTATATTATGCTATACAGTATGAATAATAGTAACTTAATTATAATAAACCTGGTCCTTGAACAATGGTCTAGAGATATATCTAACCACATTGGTGATTATCTGACATTATCATGTCCTTGAAGATTTATCGTTCTTCCTTAGCGAGACCAACTTTGTTAACAACGTTGATGTATATGAATTTTCAAGTACATCTAGATAAATGCAAGACTGTATCTCCCATATGTTTTTAGTAAATTTCTTAAATGTTCATTTTTGTCTCTCAAGTTTACCATAAAAGGTTAAGGTAGACACATAATTATCTAAGAACCTTTGATCTAGTCAAGCTTTGAGTGTACTTGTTCAAAATCTGTTACATTTGAGATTGAACGCTAATTGTAACCGACAAAACGAATAATAAAATTTGATGTTCTTTGTAGAAGTATATTAGATAATACATCACATGTTACTGTAACACTATCAAATTTTATGTCTCATAATAAATTTAGTTTGTTTACACATAATGTTACACAATTAAAAAATATAAACTAACTGAAATAGTAACATGAATATAATGTACAAAAGTCGTATGAAAGCTAGTCCAGTATTTCCTAAATTAAAATGTTTATAGTATGTTAGTGTATCTTTGAGTTTTGTATGAGAAAATCACGGAACGCTAAATCGACAATTTGTATAATTTTAATTAAGTGAAAAAATAATTCATGTTACCGTAACAAAATCCACGTGAGAAAATATGTTTTCAAATAGTTGAATAATAATCATTTGATTTATAACTAAAGATCCTTTTATGATTATTAATGTCAACTTTTTTTTTGGGGGGGGGGGGAAGAGTATGTTCATTTCTGATAAATGTTTGATGCTTTGGAAAACTAATATGGTTAAATGATATAATGTATATAAAGTGAAGTTTTGAAAGATTCAGAAATAGAATTTCTGGCTGTCAGTTTTGTAGAAAAAAATGTATTGTCTGTTTTAGCCTTAAGCCAGTATGCATCCATAATATATTGAAATAGCATACATCATTTTGTATGTGTGAGACACTGGTAATTATGTATTTAGAATTCATTAGATGGCAAACATATGGCAGAAAAAAAAGGAAATACTATTATTTAGGTAGAATAGTATATAATCATTCTTGATAAGAGTTTATCGAGCTTTTAGTCTATATGCAAATAGTTTCAATCAGCAAGAAACAAGCTCTCGACAAAGATTTATAGCAATAGAAACCTGTAAACTTTAGTGATCAATTTAAAGCTAAATATGAGATTTAAATACGTATCCTTTTCAGGATGGTAATTGCAAAAGTATGCAAGGTAAATTATTGACTATAAAGGCATTTATCTTGAATTTATTATAATAACACCCATTTGCCATTTATTTGCCCAACTCATTAATGATCTAAACCCTTTTGTAAATCACTAACATCCTCTTCACAGCTAGCAATACCCCAAGACCTTAATATCATCAGCAAATATAAGTAATTTATTGACCATTACTTTATCTATGTCATTTATGTAAATCAAAAAGAGCAAGGGTTCCAAGACTGAGCCCCAAGGTACCCCACTTGTGACATTAATCCAGTTTGACTAAACTCCATTTTTTAACAACCTTCTTCCTTCCAGCCACTCATCTATCTAATTTGCCAACTTATCCCCCACACCTATAGATTTTTTTTAAATACAAGACTTATGTGGCACCTTGTCAAATGCTATCTGAAAATCCAGATACACCAAATCTACACCCTTACCCTCATCTACAAAAGCAGTAACCTTTTCAAAGAATGTCAAAAGATTTGTAAGGAAAGATTTTCCCTTAGTGAAACCACATTATCTATCCACTAAAATTCTAAACTTTGTTAAATGACTTTGCAAAGCATCTTTTATCAGACTTTCCAAAACTTTTCCCATAACTGATGCAAGACCAATGTACCTATAGTTACTAGGACAGTTTTTATCATGACCTTTGAAAAGAGGAGTTGCATTAGCAAACTTCCAAACCTCTGGTACTTGTCCACTATTCAAGGACTGACAAAAAAAATAGTAGCAAGTAGATCACATATCCAATCCTTAACCTCTTTCAAAACCCTTGTAGAAATATTATCTGGCCCAGGAGCCTTATCATTCTTCAAACTTCCCAATTTTTTTCTTAACGAGCTCAGAATTCATACAGTTATTTTGTTCAATCCTGTTTCCATCTATCTTCTGTTCAAGATGTGGAATACTACTTACATCTTTGTTTGTAAAAACTGAAGAAAAGGCAAAATTAACCCAGCCATCTCATAATCATCAGATACAAGCCATCCTTTATCAACCCTCAAGGGTCCTACCCCCATCCTAATATTTTGTTTACCCTTAATGTATTTAAAGAAATCCTTACTGTTAATTTTTACATTTTCAGCCAACCTTTTCTCATACATCCTTTTTAGGTTCTAATATCCTGATTGACCAACTTTCTTCATCTTCTAAATCTCACTTCCTACCAGTAAATTCAAATTTCTTAAATTTGTGTTACTTTTCTTTAATTTTATCTCTCATACTCTTTGCGAGCCAACCTGGTTTTTTACTTGTGGCTATCCCTATTTTCATTCCAGAAGGAACATGTCTACCTTGAATATTTAATTATTTTCCACATCTGATCAATAATTAGATATTTACACTTACTTAACTTTTATAAGTGTAGGAGTTTTACATGTTGTATGTACTAATAAACCAAACGTATTATATCCACAGTCATGAGATGAGGATGCCTCATTTTTGTTTTTTGGCAAGATGTTTGAAACCAGTCACAAAATGAATTATAAAAAACCATCACCATGTTTCTAGATTCATTGGTCTACTTTAATTTTGACGATAGACAATTTTAGTGATGCAAGTAAGGAAATGTGAAAAACAGAAAATAGGCTAGGGGGTGCAGGGGGCCACCTAAGCATCAAATGAGCCTTTTATGTCCACACCCACAAAAAAAGCAAAAGTGCAACACCACTTACATGGTCTTGAAGTGCTTTGTCCTCTCTTTACATATTTGATTTTTTCAGTGCACTTTACAATAATCTTTGCAGTTTTTCTGGAAACTTATAACAAAATACTGAATAATTGTGCACCCTCTTTTTCAAATGTGGAAACTATGTTGTTGGTAAACCATTACTCATGTCAGATGATACAACCGACACACAATATTTGTCACTACATAGCACCGAGTGTGTTCTCAAACCAGAGTAACAATTAAACCTGTTAAAAAATGTTCTCATCTAATTCAAGTAGCTACATAGGAATCATGAGCCTACAAAAGAAAACAGCTTTAATGAAGTTCTATTAACTGAAAACATTGAAGCAGGTTTGCACACCTAGTGGCCAAGTTTTGGGTATGTCATGAAAGTCAAGTTGTGGATTTTAAATCCATCTGCGTTGTCATGTCTAAGCTATACTACTTCGAAAATGATACAATATTAAAGAATTTATACTAGTATCCAAACTATCAATATGGAACATTATTTAAATTGATGAAGAAACTGTATAATGTTGGAAATTATATGTGTACAATCTTCTTATTGGAGTTAACTTCTGATCCAGATGATCCTTCAGCAGTCACTAATAATTAATGTATTACAATCCTCACACAGATATAATTTTATTATTTTGTATACACAGTTTCAAATTTTCAATTTAGTGATTTAAAAAACTTGTGATAACAAGCCATCACAAAATTCAACTTTCATATTGGTTTTGTTTCACTACAAAGTAAAGCTATTTCTTAACTGACTGAATAAATCTTCTATAAAAAACAAACTATCATTTGGATATTAAAAAAATATGTTATTGGATATTGAAAAATATATGTTATTGTTTAAGATGTCTGGCAAACATTTACTTTTTTCTGACTTTTCACACACACACACACACACACACAATATAAATGGGGTACATGGAATACAATGGTTTCCAAACAACTCCAAGATATTATCTGAATAACCCAGTGACTCAAGAACTAGACTAAGTTGCCATCTGAAAAATCTTGAGGCTTTGACAATAACTAAGCAAACCAATTGGTTCAGGGATTTGATTGTAATCACCACCTGAGAAAGTCAATAGATTCCGAGATCTGGATTAGGAAATATCTGAGGTTAAATATCTAATACTTAAGAAAGTTTTAGGATACAGGAAGAGGACTATTCAACACTCGAGCAAATAAACGAGCTTTTACAATTTCTCAATATATTCCAATTTAGCTCAAATTAGGATTGGGACTTCTTACTTCATAATATTTCCATAAACCAAGTTCGTCAGTCAACTTAGAAAGAACAGATTTATTCAAGATCCAACACCAGGATTCAGAAAATTCATAGAAACAGTACAAATATAAACAAGGAAAACAGGATGTTTAACTGATAACATGGAATAGACTGTTGCATAATAAACATTAGTAACAAATACACTTAACTTTACAAGTGGTGGTAAAATATAGCTGCTAGCAATCTTAGCTAGCAGAAAGAATATATTTGACACGACTAACAAGACATCCTTTTAACATCAAATGTACAATTTAATCACACAATAAAAGTTAAAGAATCAAGGTAAATTATCTCACCAACAGCCTTAAAGAAAAGAATAACAAGTTAACTCACAAAAAAAAACTTGTCTTTCAGCACCATAAATAAAAATTTATCTATTATAACTACCCTCTGATAGATAAAAATCTCAAAGCTGATAGAAAATAGGATTCATAAAAAATAGCAGAAAATGTTAAAACTCTTATATGTGAGGAAAAAATTAACAGCTTTCATTATCAACTGAAGTGTGCTGGCACATTCATGAGATGCACCATTTGATACACATTAAAATATAGTGCTGAAAGCGATGTGTTGCTCCTCTTTGATTTCAATGAGCAACAAATATTGAACTGCTTTACACAACTTCATATTCTTTCTTAATAGCACGGGCAAGGCAGCAAGAAAAGATGATTCCAATGATCTGAAACAAAGATAATTACAAGGATATACAACAATATCCCAATGGTGAATCTAAAGCTTTTGAAAACATATAGCACAAATTACATACTTACACTTTTTTTTTTTAATATAGTAAAAATGAGGTATGAACAACAATGTAATACATGTACATTTAGAAGTAGAAACCAACAATGCTGAATAACTCTAGAAAAGCATATATTGAATTGTTGAAATTGTGACAGTTGGAATATAGATCTTGCACATATTTCTCAGATGCATGAAAAAAGAAAAAAAAAACTGAAAAACAGACAAAAATAAGAAAAACAAAGCTAACACACCACAGTAACAAAAATCTAACTGTCAAATACTCAAAACACTGCTGTTATAAATACAAGTTGCATAAGAATGAGAACTCAAAAATCTAAATTTCAGGGGAAAAAAAAGCCATACTCTAGTTTCTTATTGAAATTAGAGAAAATTACACATCTGGAACAAGATACACAAAATTTTTGAACCCAAGCTGAAATTTGTTAATTCCTTTACTCAGACTACGACTAGCTTTATGTAACCATCTGTTTCTAATTTTATTTTTCTAGAATTTTCTTTTTTCAACAATTATCTTCAATTCTTCTGCTGGGAGTTTGACACATTCAAAACATTTTCTGGTATTCTGTATCGATTGAATATTATTATAACTTTTATATAGCAAGTGTTCTCTTTCACATACATTTAGCTATTAAATCCATAAGTCGCTTTCTACATTAAATTCCTTTGGTGCATCAGCAGCTTTTGAATTTTAACATTTTATAGAAAGATCTTGTATTCTCATCAATGCAATCAATTTAAAATGTACATTTTTCCATTTAAACTATAATAATGAGTTGTTTTTTTTCAGGTAAAACTGATTTCCTCAAATAGTAATAGGTTATCCACTATATAACAGGAGGATTGGCAAGATACATCATGAAATAACACTGATAGTTACAAGTAAATGAATTTCAGCAAATAAATTCAGTCTGGACAAGTGTAACATGCAACAAAATAAATTTGTAATCACGAAAGACATAAAACACTATGTGCATTAGCTTATGGAAACTGGATGGTTACCTTTCACAAGATACATAAGTTGATTAGTGATTAGACTGACTTCCGTTAACCAAGTTACTAAAAACCCATTCCAGGAAGGTTTAAATCTATTGTTTCATACCTAACAAGAAATACTGGATTTGCCCATAACAAGTAGTACTACCCATATAATTGGACATTCTCATCTAAACATTGGAGGGGGGGGGGGGCATAACCTCAAGATATCACCTGACCTACTGGCAGCTTTCAAGCACAATACACAGCATTACAAAATGAATAGTGAAAAGGAACAAAATCATCTATAATGACCTCAACTTGAATTTCTTGATCATGCGTTATGCAAAAACTGCATGGAGTTAGAATAAATGAAACATGTGACATTAAAACGAGATGGTAGAAGATGCATAGTATGCACATGTACCACAACAGTAACATTGTTTCAACAATACAGTGCATTATACTTCAAACACATTTGCTACTGCTGTTTTCTACTTCTAAATGTGCGTATGCATTTTCACCATTGATTACGAAGCCTGAGGGCAACTCATGAAGTATCAAAAACTTACTACAATAACAAAAAAAGGGAAGCAAAATAACAATGTCATATAAAACTTATTACAGCACATTAACTGTTTAACACATTAAATAAGGAAAAATCTTCAAAACTATTTTACTTGTGTCTATGGGCAAGCAATTTTCATCCTACACACATTACGAACAAACTGGTCAACATCAAAACCACTGCTTGGACAATAAGTATCATTTCAAATGGACCAAAACTGAAAACTACAGCCATCAATAATTACCTACAAAAAGTTATTCACACAGCAGAGAAAACCAATAGAAAACAATGTATCTGCAAGCACAAACATGAAATTACTAAATTTAAACACAGTCAAGAAGACTGAATTACACTGGACTATACCCTTCATAAAATGCAAGTTTGCAACATGACATTAATATATACACGATATAACGAATATCAAACAACTTTTTGGAATATCACGTCATTGTCTAGAATGTGACATACTCCCACGAACAGAAGAAATGAAAGTAAATTATAACAAAAACTCAATGATGTCGATATAAAGGACCATTTTAAATTTATTGTTTCACTAGAGTACTAAAATTTTTTTTTTTTTTTTTTTTTATTTTTTTTATTGTGGTATCTGTTAGGTTGATATTACTGTTGATAGTACAAAATATCCTAATGTTTTGCAAAATTTTTACCTTTAGCAAATTCTCTAGGTTCACACACATTTTTCTTATATTCTTATATACATATTCAGTTATTTCTACCTAAACAAATTTAGTTCCTTTTCAAAAGTCACACAAGTTCCACTCAATTACATACAACCATGCTCATCAAGATGGTCGACTACAGTGAGAAAGGTCCACTAGACACTTGTACTTCATGATGATTTTTACTTTTTTCATCATGTTCATTGAATTGGGAGTTTTAGACATCAACTACAGTTTTGACAGTTAAATAAACTTCTATATACTTTAAAGCATTCTTTTCCCAGTTAATACCTGGTCTACTAAACTATGTAAAAACAATTTAAAATATTTATAGTGACTGTACAAATATGTTACACATACAGGCCTAACATGCACAAATGTAAAATAAAGCTGTAAACCTCATTTATGTAAAAACATTCACATCTAAAATATCTACACATCTAATGTTACATTTTGACTGTATATTATAACTGTCAAAAATTTGCCAAGTGTTTGTAAGTTATAAAGATGTAAAATAAATCCACCATCGTCTTTACTTCATGTAATTTAACAATGGTAACACTTAAAATATAGATTTACATGATACATGATATAGTTCAAATATTTGATGACCTTTCAAAGAAAAGTCTTCTCAGGTTGACATTTTCCCCTGCATACAAGTAACACAATCTTACCTGCACAAAGGCTATCCCAATGCCAACACCTCCAACAACCAATATCTTGTCTTCCAGGAAACTAGCCAAGGCATCGACACATCCCTACAGGTAAATATTTATCATAATAACATCAAACTTATTTAAAATCAATTTTACACATAGTACAGGAAAGTACCACTTTCTGTAACAAAACTTAAAATAAAAATTATTAAAACAAGTAACTTGTTAATTTAAAACTGAATTAGTCTGTCAACAAATATAAAAACTATCACAACAACAACGAAAAAAAGAGAATTTGTATAGAGTTATAAATACTTTCTACAGTACCATTCCAACAAAAATGTCCCTTTTTCGAGAAGCAAATACTACAAATTCCTGTAAGACAAAACCCAATTGGCAAAGACAACCAGTTAGGATGGCAAAGTAATTTTACTAAAAAACCATTATCAAAGGTTGCTTTACATTTACTACCTCTCTTGTTATAGCAATTCTAGTACATCTGCTATGGATAACCAATGGGAGAGTGTTTACTGCTGGGGCAGTGTTTACTGCTGGGGCAGTGTTTAATGTCTCTGTATATGCCAGAAAGTTATTTTCTCAGAAAGCACGTATAATAAAGTTACTCAAAAAACTTATTAGAAATTTATAAAAACAAACATTCTAGAAACTAGGCCATTGTGGTGTGTAGAGAGGCTCTGGCCTAACAGACAAGTCAGAAAGTAGGCAGAATATAAATAATTTTATAAAATCATTTTTTAGGTTTTTAATAAGTAGAAGATAAAAAGAGAAACAATTACAAATTTGGTAACTCAAGTGTTTAAGCACTGAACCTAATTAACCCTTTCCATAAGGGATGGGTTGATGTCATTGACCTTGTAACCAAAAAGTACCTGTCCCCATACTATAGCTTAATATAGTTGTGTGTATCTTCACAAAATTTGGCAAGCTTTTAATAAACATTAAGATTTTTTTTTTTTCTAACACAAGATCAGTTTTAATGAAGTAATTTTACTAATGATTTTCCATGAACATATGGAATCAGTGTTGACTGCTCCAAGTGCAAAGTGATTTTCATATTAATATTAAAATACTTTTCCTCATCAGAAAAATTTCTAATTTCATTTATATACTCTCTAAAACCTCTTAAGTAAATATCAAAAGTTTTCTTTCAGTAAAACTTTATATTTTATCTGTTATTTTCTATTACCTACCTGTATACAGACTCAGTTAATTTGCCCAACCTTGTAACCACCATAAAAATATAAAATAAATCTTTTTTTTAATTTTTTTTTTTATGGAATGACAGCAGACTGTAGCCAAAAACTACAATTGCTTATCCTAAACAGCTTAAGACTTAACAGTCTACATCTTTTTCAACTTAATTTTGTTTTATTGCCCTTTGAACCATGTCTAACTAATAACCCTGCCACACAAGTTGTAAATTGTTTAGCAAATGTTGAAAAACATAACCAGCTGCTTGTGAGAATACCTTAAAGAATTATCTTTTCATTAACTTACCTAATCTAACCTAGTAAGTTTCTAATTTACACATTTTAGTTACTTTTGTAACAATATAAATGTAAAACAAGAAAACATCATGTGCTGATGAAATTTAAGCCTACTTTTTTTTTTAAGTTAGTGATAGTATTAATCCAACTTGGACTTCCACTCGAAGCAGTTTCACTTGAACGAAAGAAAGAAAAATGAAGTTTCTATAAATGTAAACTTCTTATCTGTAACTTAAATTAACTAACCGAACAACAGTTATTACTTATGTAAATATTTAAAAAGATACCTTTGTAAAGTGATCATCAGTTATTTGACACGGTTTAGTTGGGTCTTTTCCTGGACAACAACTGTAAGGCAGGTTCACCTCACCCATATATTTTTTCCATTCACTAGCATTATTTGCACCGCAACACTTCAACTGTGAAAAAATACATTATGTAGCCTTACTCTTTTATTTCAGCTGTAACAAAATGATTCACAAACAGCTACTTTAGTTCTTACTTGAACTGTAAAAAACAAGTATTACAATCAGCTCTGACTCCAAGTGTAACAAATATTTACTAAATGTAACAAAGGAGGTTACTTTGAGAGTACAAGAAACATTGAATTGTAAAACAATTAAATAACAACTATACACAAAATATCTAATATTCAGAGCTTCATCAGGGCTAGGCTAATCAACAGATGCAAAAAAATAAAGTTTGGCAAGTTCATACATGTATTGTGTTCCTGGGATATTTATTTTGTTCACATAACTGTCCACTGCATGTATCCAGCTTAAGTATTTCATAACATTTTTACTCCCTTTGGCTAACTAAAATATGAACAATCAGTCTGCAACCATATCGCAAATAAACCACAGTATTTAAAACACTTAGAGCGAGTTTAATGAACCCAAGCTTTAATAGGCAATGGTCCAGGTGTTTTGTGGCTTCATCATCCTTGTAGCTTCTATGGTTTAGTTGCAGTGTTCATGTGCTTGTACGAGGCAAGCTTCTATTTAGGCATACGCAGCATCGTACTATAAATTTCTTGATCACTGGAACATAAAATCAGAAGAAATAAATCTTAAGATGTTTTACTTTAAAATAGATGACTGTATCACAATGTATTATCCCCACTACCACTTGGTTTATGGAATCTGCTATTTATAATGTGCCCCACACTTACTTTGCTAAAACAAAGAAATTAAATAAATTAAATATAACCATTGCATTGAAATTTGTCGATTATAAATATAAAACAAACTGCAATTTGTTCATTTTGACACTTTTCTTATACAAAGATCACATGGGTCTTGAAGTTTAAGATATACACTTGAACTGGGAATTACACCAAGATATATGTCCCAACCACAGTGAATTGATTGTGAATTATTGTTAACTTCTATCTTCTTTAACACGATTTGAGATCTCATCTAGATAATAGCTGCAAGATTGTATTAACATGCAAATAATTTTTTTTGGTTCCTGTGCTGTTCCATTTTACCTATACTTTCAGTGTTGCTATAACAATAATCAGTAGTGCTTTTTACCACCACTTTAAAAACTTAAAGTAGCACCCTTTTAACACAACAATACTATACTTAAGTTTCATGTGCTGTCAACTACACAAGGTGTAAAACCTAGATGTTTATAGCTTAGTGAAGTTATTCACACAGATAACATGGTATAAAAATAGGAAGTTCTTTCCAAACCTTTTCCTTTGGAGGGAGGTGAAATAAGTAAACATTAAATTTATTATTTGTCTAACATATCAAATTATTCTTTATAACCTCTTTTGGTACTTAAAATGAACTGCTTGTAGATACAAGTTGAAAGTAATACTAACATGATGCTTACATCGCCTGTGCTAAAAGGTTAAACAAAATTTAGGTCTTACATTAGACTGCATATCATCCCATGTCTTAGTGACAATGTCATGATTTGACTCATTGTAGTTCATCATGGCATTCTTCATGTTCTTTCTAAGAACAGTCTCCACCTGAAAAAACAATAACATCTTTTTAAAAAATATTTCCAATCTTAAAAACCAAGTTTACAAAACACACCATACATCACAAATATGGAAGTTTCAACTTGTGAACTCAGAAAATATTCCAACGGATCTTTAGAACTGTCAATTAAATTTCAAAACTTGTAATTCTTACCAAATGAAATAGCACTTTAGATATTTACATCAATCTAATGGCATGCTTCTGCTTTAATCAGTGCTAACCCTACTGACTCACCTTAGTTGCAGAAATAACTATTCTTTAAAGAAAAATAAAATTCCATGCCCTCAATAAAGGCTCCTGAAATACTTCCCAAATTTTATTTTCTTTAACTGGTTGATAACATTACCATACTGGAGTGGCTTCAGCAACAAAACCCAAATCACACAGTTCTCCCCCCCCCCCCCATTTTTTCTACTTAACCCTTTTTCTTCTCCCATTCTTTGCTTTTCTGTTTTATTCTTTTCCTTCCCAATTTCCACCCTTTTCCCCTTTTTCGTGACCTGAAATTCTTCCCAAATTTAAAATCTCAATTATTTCCATACCTTTTACACACTAATTCAGAAGAATATTTACCTGCTTGCTTGATATATGTTAAAGAATATCATCCAAGAGATCATTCCTCTGTATGTACAAGTTGGTTTGGTGTGTAAAATCACATATTACAATAATACTGTTTCTCATTTGTAAAAATGAAGCTGTGTCACAACAGACTTGTATGCAGGATAAAATAGTGCACTAAACAACCTAAAATTTTTAGTTGTTATTCTCTGAATACACAAAAAAAAAACTCAACATCAATAAAACAGGAAAACAAAATTTTGCAGGAAACGAAAAATAGTAAATTCTTTAACATACCCCACTCTTGTAAACATATGCTAAGATACCAGCTACCAGTTCAAGAACG